ACGGCTCCCGCTTGCGGGCCATTCGGTTGCGTTCCGAGGCCTGCGTGGCCACCGTTCTTTCGCCGTGGGCGCATCCTGCATTTCATGAATCCTCCCGATGGCCATGTCCTGGCGGGGCCGCGCACGCCCTACTGGGGCTACGCCTGCGGCTCCGCTGACAACTGGGCGTCGAGGTTCTCCTGTCGCCAGTGTGGTCGGCCTGCGGCGCAGCGGACCATCCAGGCGGCGAGGAAGGCTGCCGCGGGTGCCAAGGCCCCAGCTCGTGGGACCAAGCGGCCGCCGCAGGTGCAGTGGGCCCAGGGGCCTCCTGGCAACGGCAGCGCGAAGATGCTCAAGCATTTCCAGGACCTGCAGCAGCAAGTCCAGTGGCTCACCAACAAGGCGCAGCATGCTGGGGGGAGGTCTCCGCCTCCGCCCGCTGCTGCTGCGCCGCCAGGGGTGGTGGGATACCTCCAGACGCTGGGGGTCGACAGCACTGCCATCGCGGCGGCGGAGGAGGCATAATTACCGTAAAGCTACGGAGTCAAAGAAGACGCTACCCACGTCGCCAGCGGTTCGATGCGGCGCGCTACCCACGTCGCCAGCGGTTCCCACAGAGGTAGGCTTTAGGGAGGGCCAAGGAGGGCGAGGATCGAGGAGGAAAAGGGTCGCGGGCGAGAGGTATGAGGACTAGGGGTGCGCCTCCTAGCCCCCCCCCTGGAGGGCAAAGGCTGGAGAAGATCGCGGGCCCCACAACAGTGCGGTGACCACACCGTCGAGTGAGTCCATGGGGGCTCGGGGTGGCCGCACGGTGTTGAGCCCTGGGTCGTCCTGCGGGGGCGCCTCGGGCGATTGGGACCTCCAGGGGGGTCCCAGAGCCGTGCGGGGAGGGTCCGTGCGGCAGGGTCTCGAGGGATCCCGAGGTCACCGCACGGTCTGTCACGGCACCGTTTCCGGACCGCCAAGAGCGGGTCCTGAGTCGCAGGTTATTTCTCGCTCCATTCCCCGAGTTCCTTGTCCACGGGGACACCGCAGGGGGCCATCGACTGAACCCATATGAGCCCGTTTCTTTATTGCTTGTGGCATGACGGGCGTCATGGCCCCCGCCTCCCCCCCCCTATGACGTAACGCTCCCCCCCCCAGTGCGCTCCGGGCACTGCCGCCGTGCGCATTGGGATTCGCGTAGGTGTCCGCGTAGGAATCCGCTTAGGTGACTGGTCCGCAGGCGTCGTCGTCGTCGTCGTCGTCGTCGTCGTCGTCGTCGTCGTCGTCGTCGTCCGTCGTCGTCGCTCGTGGTTCGTCGCTCGTCGCTCATCGTCGTCGTGCGCGCGGACGCGGCTGGCGCCTGTTTTTTTAAATCTGGGCCGATGACGGCAATCATTTGGGGGGGAGGGGGTCGATGACGTCACGTCTCGCGCCGGCGGCGTCTGGGAATGCTTAGGAATGACGGAGGACGGGTAGCACGAACATGTAGGTGGCGATATGCACCACAACGCCTGTGTACATCACACTGCCCGCGTGCACCATAGCGCCTGTGTGCACCACGCCGCCGATGTACAACAGCAGCCGCGTGCAACACAGCGTCAGTTTGTGCCACCGCGCCTGCGGGCACAGCAGCTCTTGTGTACACCACAGCGCTTCCGTACACCACATCAGTCGTGCGCAACACAGCACCAGTGTACACCACAACGCCGCGTGCGTTGCAGTGCCTGTGTACGCCACGGCGCGTGTGTGCACCACATCAGCCGTGTGCAACACAGCACCATTGTTGCGCATAGAATTTCAGAAGGAATCCTTGTGATAAAATGGAGCGCGTGTGGATTCCAGAGAAAACAATGGAAAACAAATCCTCATGGACGAAGGCGCGCCGCTGGAATCTAAGAGTCCCCCCGAGTCATCCCGCATCGCCCGAAGTCTCATTTGCGTCCAGGGGGCTCCGGCTAAACTGGTCGTCCGAGGACCAAGTGGATCGATTCAATCGACCATTCTGCGGTGCACGCTGAGATGCGCGCGTGCGTTGCAACGCCAAACCGCACGACAAGGGGGTAAGAAGGAGGAGAAGGAGGATGAGGAGGAGGAGGAGGAGGAAGAGGAGGACGAAGAGGAGGAGGAGGAGGACGAGGAGGAGGAGGGGGAGGTGTTGGAGGACAAGGAGGAGGAGGAGGAGGAGGAGGAGGAGGAAGAGGAGGAGGTGGAGGTGGAGGAGGAGGGATGAGGGGAAAACGTCGCATTCGATTATCAGGACTTTCCTGGCGTGGGGTTTAGTTGTCCGCAGCAGATCCTGACGTACATGTTCCTTCTATCTGTCCTATGCGCGCAGGCACTGTGGTGTACACCAGCGCTGCGTTGCACGCGGATGCTGTGGGGTAGAGGCGCTGTGGCGTGCACAGGCGCTGCGGCGCAAGCAAGCACAGTGGTGTACACAGGCGTTGTGTTGCACATGGCTGCTGCGGCGTATGTACACCAGCGCTGTAGTGCTCCCAAGTATTGTGGTATACACGGGCGGTGCGTTGCACACGGCTGTTGCGATGTACGCAGGCATTGTGGTGCACACGCGCGGCATGGTGCACGCGAGCGTTGTGGTGCACACAGGCGCAATGGGCAGATCGCCACCTTACATGCTGCTCGCGTCGTCGTCGTCGCTCGTCGCCCGTCGCTCGTCGCGTCGTGCTCGCGGGCGCGGCTGTGGTGCCGGAGCCACACGGCGGGGGGGGGCGTCACGTCATACCCCCCCCCGCCCTCCCCCCCCCCTATGACGCCCGTCATCGCCGAACATAAGGAAACGCGCTCGATCGAGGATGGACGCCCCCGCTGTGCATCCGCGGGTGGCCCCACATTCCCAAAACATTGCTAGCACTCGGGGTCTCTCATTTGTTTCCCAAGCTGTGTTTGCATTTATGGAGGTTCTGATTCGGTTTTCGTCAGCTAGGTTTTCGCCACGTTGCCACCCGCGCCGCATCGTGGGCGCCCCACGGGGGGCTGCGTACTTGGGGGATGCGTTTGGTGTTTGCCACGTTGCCGCCCATGCCGCCCCGTGGGCGGTCCGCGCTTTTGCGGGTAGGCCCAGAATGCGCCATGGTGCCGCCCGTGATGCCTCGTTGTCGCCCCGTGCCCCAAGCTTGCGCGACATGGCCTCCATCACATAACGTGCACCACACAGCCTATACAGAGGCATAGCCTAGATAAAGTAGTTGAAGTCACATAGCTTGCGCCCCATAGCTCCCACCTCCAGTTCACACCGCATAGTTACACGACATAGTTTACACCAAATAGCTAACACCAAACAGGTGCCACTTCCATAGCTCACACCGCATATCTTACACGACATAGCTTTCACTTCGTATCTTACACAGCATCGCGTTTACCTCCATAGCTCGGACTTCACAGCTTACACTGGATAGATGCCACCACGTAACTTACGCCGCATAGTCTGCACATTTCTACTGCAACCACGCACTGTTTTGGGTCCACGCTGGTTAAGAGATTGTGCTCGGACATCGGGTGGGTCCGCCGAGTATTCCGCACGTTCGCGCCCGTGCCGCCTCGTGGGCGCTCTTGGGTGCCCCGAGCCTTGGGTGGTTCCGCCGAGGGCTCGCCACCTTCGCTCGCGTGCCGCCTTGTGGGCGCTCGCTGGCGCCCCGTGCCCTGGACGGGTAACATAGCATACACAGCATACCTCATACGGCATAGCTTCCATCGGAGAGCTTACGCTGCATAACGCACACCGCATGGCTTGCAGCGCAGAACATACACAACTTTTCTCACAACGCATGGGTAACGGTAGTAACACCGCATACTTTACACCATTTTGTTCGCACTACATCGGTTACACAACTTAGTTGTGCCACATCACTGTTTTGGATTCAGGCTGTGTGGGGTCCACGCAGTCGAACACCCCACACAGCCGGGGCTGGGAGTCGCACCGCGTCCCGTTATTGAGGCGAATGGGCCCTTGGGTGTTTGGGCTTCCAGCGGGCCATTTTGAGGCATCAAGGCTGTTAAAACAGGACTCGGGCTGTCAAAAGGCCTAGGGGCAGGCCCAGAGTCCAGGAACCGTTTCTTTATTGGTTTATTGTAGTGGCCTCCGGCCAGTGCCGCCGATCCGGGACGTTTCCGTTGCTGCCGAAAACGCGCAATGGCAATCATGACCGGCGACGACGGCGAGCGGTGAGGATGATGATGATGATGAGGAGGAGGAGGAGGAGGAGGAAGGGGAGGAGGAGGAGGAGGAGGAGGAGGAGGAGGAGGAGGAGGAGGATTGGGAATGGAGGCGACGGAGTAGGATGAGGCGGAGGAGGAAGAGGAGGAGGAGGAGGAGGAGGAGGAGGAGGATAATCATGATGAGGTGGAGGGGGGCGGGGGGGAGGGGCAGGAGTAGCAGGATGCTTGGGATGAGGAGGAACAGGAGGAAGCGGGAAGTGGAAGCGGGGGAGGGGGAGAAGGCGGAGCATGACGAGGATGAGGAGATTGTCAGCGGTTGTTGGTGATTTTCTGTGCTTGGCATCAGGACTCGGTCTGTCGAAAAGCCATCGGGGCAGGCCCGGGGTCCAGGAATTGTTTTTTCCCCAAATGAATGTACGGTGGTGTCGCGCACAGACAGCCCCCCGAGGTAGTAGTTGCAGGCCTCAACTGGCCCCCCGAGTGGTCTGGGGCGGTCTCAACACCCCATCTGTGGGGCTCGGAGCGTTCCAGGAGCGCCGCCGGACGCGGCGCCAGGGTGTTGAGAGTGCTCCAGACCACTCGGGGGGACTGTTGAGGCCAGGCGGAATTGTTCACTTGGGGGCTATATGCACGCAGCCCGACGCCTCACCACTGACGCCATGGAGGGCACCGCCAAGACGTCCAAGTGACCACCATCTCCGGGTTCAGGTGGGGCTCTGGAGGCCGGGCCGGCCCCCAGATCCAGGTCGGGGACCTTGTTCGTGGCCGAGGAGGCTTGCCGTGGCCAGAGATGCGCCTTCGCTCCTTGCCCAGCCCCCCCTCGTGGTACCACGAGGGCTGTCGGTGGCGTATACGGCCCACGAGCCCCGGGCTCAAGGGCCCACCCGCCCCTCGCGGCGCGTCCCCGGGCTGCTGCCCGCGGGCCATGCACGCCCTGCTCGGGTGCTGCGCGGGCGGGGAGCGGGGGGCCGCCTCGCCGGAGGCGGCCGGTGCCCGCTCCAGGGGCGCGGGCGGGCGGCGCGCGGCGGCCGCCGCGGGGGAGGAGGCTCGCGGCGCCGCCAGGGCCAAGCTGATGGAGCTGTGGGGTTCACTGGTGTTGCACCGCCGCGCGTGCGACGCGCAGGACGTCAGTCGGCGGCGGGCCCGCGGAGGGGAAGCGAGAAGCGGCGGGCTTTCTCGGGAGGAACGGGGGTCCCCTCCCCCGCCTTTGAAAAGGTTTCTGAGTCTTCCCGAAGACAGGAAATCTTCCAGAAGTCGCGATGGCTTCTGAGAAGTCCCGCCGCCTTCTGAAAAGGCCTTCTCCTTCTCACTTTCCTCTCTCGCTCGACGCCGAATCAGAGGAAGAACAGATATCGATGCCGCTGCACGGTTGGATTCTCCTTTTAAGATTGCGGTCAAAACGCGTCCCTGGACAGGTCCAGGAAGTAGCGGTATCGGTACCATGTGGTCCCGAGGACATGCCCACGAGGTACGAGGAGTTGGCGAGCCTCTTGGGCAGCTATGACGACCTTCATCCTGAAGCTTGCAGGCGCAAGAGGATTTCCAGCCAGGGCGCGGTATGCTTGGCGCGGGTGCGTTGGCGCGAGACCGAGTACACTGGTCTCTTCGAGGGATCTGACAATTGCTTATTGCGCTTGTCGTCGGCGCTGCCCACCAACCTGTCCGATCCCACGGCTCCCATCATGCCCAATGCCCTTGGGAGCTTGCAGGATCTAGCGGCACCTGAACAGGCCCAGTCAGTTGTTGGCGCCCAGCCAGTTGGACTACGCGTGGGCCCCTGGTGACTCGTTGTTCATTTGGTTCTTCCAGTTTTTGCATGAGGCGGAATTGCGGAAACATGATCCACATCCAATCCAAAATGTGCGAAGGCTGTGCAGGTGTGTTGGAGTGCTGGGCATGTTCGGGTCCAGCTAACGCCAGAGGATACTGTTCTGGTGCCCTTCGTGGCCCTCAAGGTCTTTCGCGCTTGCTTCGGAAGCGGGAACCTAGTATTCGGGGGCCGCAAGACCGGCCAGAGCGAGCCAGACTACTTCAAGCACTGCCTCAGCACGCACCTGACCGAGCGAACCAGCGCCGCGCTGTGGCCCGTGATGAGGGTCTTCAGGAGGCACTCCCAGTATCCCATGCAGATGGGGCTCAGCGACTTCGCCGCCGTGGGCCAGGACCCGGCGGCGTGTGAGGAGGAGGAGGACGACAAGGAGGAGGAGGACGACGACGAGGACGAAGACGTTGGCGAAGAGGAGGAGGGGGAGGAGGAGGAGGAGGCGGAGGAGGAGGGGGGAGGAGGAGGGGGAGGAGGAGGAGGAGGAGGAGGAGGAGGAGGAGGAGGAGGAGGAGGGAAGGGGTCACAAGGCGACGGGAGCGGCCTACCCTCCGTGGGGCGTGCGCCCTCGGAGGGGGTGGCCCCCATGTCAAGAGGCCGCCTCGAAGGCCGCCCCCTGCGCGCAGCCCCCTCTCGCCCAGGTCGCCCCGCCGAGGCGCGAATGCACGCACAGTTCGCCGCCGCTCTCGCGCTCCTCGCGGCCCTCGTGACGGCAGGGGCCGTCAGGGGCGCGAGAGCGGCGGGGCGCCCTCTTGGAGGAGCATCTCGGGAGCGGCGCGCGGCGCGAAGAGAGAGCGCGGCGCGAAGCTCTTCGGGGGGCCCTTTCGATCCGACCCGTCCGGCTTCGATGTCGAGGCTGGCCGGCCCGATCCGCTGCGATTCCGGCTCCCCGACGACCTTCAGAGGAGGAGCAGGTACCGAGACCGTTGCCATTGGCAGAGTCGCCCCGGAATCCTTGCCGGAAAGTTCCCAGGAGAGGTCCGTCGAGTACGGTGGGGGCGCGCACATCAAGAAACCATCTGCGTTTCGTGAGGGTGTGCTGGGTTTCTTCGCTCCGCGCGCCGCGCGGTAGCTTCCCGCAGCCAGGGAAGGAGCGGCGGCGTTCAGGGTACTCTGGGTTTCCCTCAGATGCACCTCGCGCGCGGGTTTTCAGGGTTGGGTTTCTTGCGAGAATGTCTTGCGGCCGCGCCCGCACTGCAGCTGTATCATTGGTGCCAGCCCTCTGCTGCCCCAGACATATGGTGAGTCAGGGGGGACGCACCACACGTTTCGGGACTCGGGCCTTTCTCTGAGGACGTCTCGACACACTGGGGTCCTGGAGGTCCCCAAAACCGTGCGGCGACGGGCCGCGCAGGTGAGGTCTGGAAGGGTTCCGAGGTCACTGCGCGGTCTTCCCCGCACCGTTTGGGGCCCGTCCACAGTCTTCCGACGGCCCCGTGCGGCCCGATGATCGCACGACGCTCCGATGCTCGGTCGGTGCATGTGTTGCGCGGCCGACACGATTCTGTCTTGACTTCGTGTCAGGGCAGCCCGATTCGGCGCTCCTTCCGATTCGACCCAGTCTCTCGACGCAATTTGCCTGGTCTGCCATGGAGGAAGCGGGTCCAGATGGAAACAAGTCTCAGACCTTCGGGCTACCCCAGGACCAGCTGCCCATCCTGATTTGTTTTTGACAGTCCTGGGGCCCGGGAGTGGGGTTCCAGGCTCCGAAGGCGGCAAACAAAAGTTCAGGACCTTTTTCCTTTCAGGACCCGCTGCCATCATGCTGAAGATGATGCTGCCCAGCTAGCGCGCGGCCGCAGGACGGAACCCCTGCCGGCGAGATCCGGTTCCCGTGGGCTCTCCTGTTGCGCCCGAGCTCGCCGGAGGCGCGCGGTGCAGGAGGGGGCGTCGCCGGCAACTTCCTGCAGCAGTTGTCCGCGCTGCAGCCAGGCACCACCGTGTACCACATCTCGGCGGCGCGCGAAAGAGGGCGGGGCGAGTGTCGAAGAGGGTCGGGCGTTCTCGAACGGGGGGCAGTGCATGAAGGATGGACAAACGTGCTCCTTTCGTGCACCTGCTGGGTCCGCGGTGGCTCGGCCACGCGCGGAGGGGCAAGGGGGAAGAGGGGAGGGCTTCTTAGAAGGCGCGGGCCTTCTCCATATATGTAATGCCGGCGCCTTCTAAGAAGCGGCCTCCTTCCAAGAAGCCCCCCCCCCCTCCCCCTACCCCCCCTTGTGCGCGCCGTCAAGTGGCAGTTTGGGGGCCGTTTCCATGCATTGCTCAATCCCCGGACCAAACCTGCGCAAACGCGTTCCGCAGGGATGATCGTGCGGCGCGAGGAGGTGCGATTTTCCGGGCCGCAGCTCGGGTCTCTGGGGCGGCCGTCCAGGCCAGTGCGGGTACCCCTGGAACGCATGAGGGGAGACGCGGTTGCTGGAGAGCAAACCGAGACGGGAACACCGTCGAGAGCGACGAAAGCGTCCGAACTGTTTCCGTCGTCATTCTCTCCCCCCTCCTTTTGAAAGTCCCCCCCCCCCCAGACATCCGCCGACATGCTTTCTCCCATGCGTGCCCCCAGGGAAGTCCCCACCTCCTCCCAGGGACCAGCTTTTCTCAGCTGATCCGTTGTCGATGATCCTGGGGCCCGAATGTGGGTTCCGAAAGCAGAAATTTGGCAAAAGGCTTGGGTAGAACAACATCGTATCGTCGGAGATTTGAGACCCGCCATGCCTCTTGCCGCCTTCTGAAATCAGCATCTTCTAACCGATCCCCATCCCCACAACGCCATGATATCTCAGCCCCCGCCCACCCTCCTGAGTGGGAGTAGGCCCCACGAGACCCGAAGGAGCAGGCATGTATCCCCACCTAGGCGGGAAGTTGACCAGCGGGGCTAAAGCCACGCCAGTAGGGAAAGGGATGGGTTGAACGATGCTCATGAAAGTCCCCCCCTCCCCCCCCGCCCTGCCTCTCGCCGCTGGGCGTCTACGCCTGCGACTCCCCAGCGGCGGCCGAAGCTGGCCCGATCGACCACATCGGGGACGTCGTCACCGCCTCGGACTTCATCGAGAGCGGCCTGGAGGCCCGACTGCGCTTCCGCCACCAGCTGAAGGAGGAGGACGTTTGGGCAACGCCACCTACAGACGAACCTACAATCAGGAGAGGAACACGTTCCGGTCTGTGGCCAGGAAAGCCTGTCGTTCCTCACGCTGCGTTCCGCGTAGAGTCCACCCGCATAGTAAGGATATGCAACCTTCCAAAGGGTACCCTGGCATCCTTGCCTCCTCTGTTCATCCCTGGCCACTTTCGTGGGCCGCGCCCCGCTCGGAAAGCTTCGAAACGGCCGTCCAAGGCCCTTGCATCTTTACCGCGGACCTTCTGATACTCAGAGCGTGAATTACCTACCCCGCTTTCGCTTCCAGGCAAAACCAAGTCATACCACGCGCCTCCTCGTCAAGCGGCCTGACCACTACAGGCCGTAGTTTGGCACCGCTTGGTATCTCCTGGAAGCGAGGGTGGTCAAAAGCGAGGTAGGTCTGTTTGCCCCCTAGATACGGACCCAATTGTCAAAGCACGATGGCTGCATCGAGTGACAAACCAGCCGGCATGAAGATTCTCGGAGGTTCGCGCGGGCGTCTCGGGCCGGCGCTGGGCCCCTTTCGGGCGGCGCCTCTTGCGCCGCCCCAGTGTTTCGTGCGCCAGGGCTGGGAGGTCCACCGCCGACCCGAGAAACCACCGCGGCGATTCGGATATTCCAAGAAGACGAAATTTCATGAACATAAACTTTAGAGCTTCGCGCGGATTTCTTGGATCTGCGCTGGGGCCCCCACGGCGGTGCCTCTGCCGCCGCCCCTGGCGCGGTCCGCGCGCCAGGGAAGAAGGTCCAGCGAAGATCCAAGAAATCCGCGCGGAGCGCCGAAAGTCCATGTGTATGCCTTTTTTCCCTCTTCTAGAGCCCCGGGGGGAGTCAGAAGGGGCGGGCCTTCTCGGAAGGCTCGGAGGCCCCCCGGCCTTCTGAGAAGTGTTCTAAGCCTTCCCCGAAGACGCAGGAAACTTCTCAGAGGGCGCGAGGGCTTCTGAGAAGCCCCGCCGCCTTCATCTCACTTGCCCCCCTCGCTCGCCGCCGATTATTATGGACTGCTCGTCAACGGACGAAGAACAACATCACATAACTTGTTCCGTCCCGGGGAACGCCTGCCACAGGTTGGTTGGGAAGCTTACGTGCCCCTTTCGGAGGCACGCGGCGGCACATATGTTATGGCCGTCCTGGGACAGGCGTCCCCGACCCCGGAGCAGGTTGTTCGTCACGTGTCGCGTATCCTCACCAGCCCATTCAGAAATCCTGCCCATGAGAGTTGACGGGGAAAGGGACGGAGAGACACATGCAGTGAAAAAGATGCGGGCAACCCGGATGAACTCACAGATCTTTGGGAGAGAGGGGGTGGCCTTGGAGGGCCTCTTCGGGCCATCTCTGGGGCCCTCCTCGGGGCGAGGGAAGAGGAGGAAGACGATGACCACCACGATGAAGAAGTGGATGAGAATGACAAAGAAGACGATGAGGACAAGGACGAGGAGGAGGAGGAGGAGGAGGACAATGAGGTCGAGGACGAGGACAGAAACATCAACATCGTGGTTTGGAGCCCTCTTAGGACTCTTTTGGGGGATCTTGGGGTCCTCTTGAGCTCTTTTGTGGGATCTCGGGCCCCTCTTGGGGCCCTCTTGGAGCTCTCTTGGGGGTCCCGTCGGAGCCCTGGAGGGCCTTTCGGAGGCCATCGATGAAAAAGGGGGGTGTCCTGGATTTTCGTCCGCCCCCTGGGGCCATCAAAGTCGCTTCCTGGCGCCCTCTTGGGACGCTCTTGTGCCAATCTAAGGCGCTATTGGGCGGTCTTGGTGCCGTTTGGGGGGCCTCTTGGGCTTCTCGCTGGTGTTCTCTAGGACCACATTTGGGCATTCTTCAGGCCTCGGAAGCACATCGGAAGAGACATCATTGATGTTCCTCGGGTTTCTGAAGGAATTGGGCCTCTTAGGGGGGATCCTGAGGTGGCTCCGAGAGCACTTGGAACCGTCTTGTGGCCTTCGTCGGGCCAATTGGAGGTATGTCGGAAGCTATCGTGAACCATTTTCGGTCATCTTGATCCGCTTAGAAGGCCATCTTGGAACACTGGAGGCCCTCTTGGAGCCATCTTGGGCCATCTTGGGTGCCCTCACACCTCGCGAATCCCTCCGAACAAGCTCAGGGAGGGGAGGGGGAAGGCACCCCTCCCCGAAGGGAATGGTGTACAAGGAAAGACAGACCTCGTTAGACCACCAACGAGGGGGCCGAACGGTCACTCACTGTCCCTGGGCGCGTGGCTGAAGTGGGGTTCCACGGTGCTGATTGTCGTCGTCGCCGTCGTCGTCGTCGTTGTCGTTCTCGCAAACGAAACCCCCCCACGACCCCCCCTGGGATTCACCCCTCGACCCACCCCGCGACCCACCCCGCAACCCACCCGCGACCAACCCCGCGCCCGCCCCCTCCCTATCCGCAACTGCGGGGTGCTACGCATACCGTCCTTTCTCCGCAAAGCTCGGGGGTGGACAGAGCCCCCAACAGTGACACGTCGATTAGTGAATTGTCCGAATTCGGTTCTCGAGAGGGCGCCGTGGCCGTTATTTTCCAGGCTTGCGCTTGCCAGGTTTGGGCCTCAGGTCGATTTCACTAAACCACGTTTTACTAAAGGGAGGTCTGTCCATCCCCGAAAAGCCCATGGAGCGACAACCACACCGGCCTGGGTGAGGCCCGGCCTGTGCCCCGGCCAGGTGCACAAGCTTCCCTGGCCCAAGCCTGGCGTATGCAGCGACATGCATCGATCCTCATCTCTGGATGTCCGTGGCCAGGGCCGGGGCGTCTGTATGAGAGTGTGGACACGGCCCTCTTCTTTTCGAAAGCGTTGGTCCCGCGCCGCGCCGACGCGGGTGTTCAAGGCGCCAGCGCGGGTGTTCAAGGCCACCGGCGTCTTGGGCCAGGCCATCGATCTTCGCTGTCGGGCAGCGAAGGTCGCTCGAGATTCACCGATCTGGTGCTGCCAGAGGAGCCCCTGGCCGAAGGTGTCCCCAGGATTTCCAGGGATGCCCCCACGGCCTCCTAGAGCACCCATCACGAGGCCAAGAGGGCCCCAGGGCCTCTGGAGTGGATCGAAAAGCTGAGAGCACCGCAGGCCAAGGACACTAGTCAAGGGTGTCCCATGTTCGGTCGGTTCGCTTGCGTCGCACCCGGTTGCGTTTCGGTCGGTTCCATTCCGTCGGGTAGTTGTGCCGTTTTTTGTTGTTGCGCCTTTCTAGTCGGAGGAGGCTAGGTTGAGGAAACGGCTGGTGGTTCTTCCGCCCAGCCCACATTATCTCATCATCAGTCCCCAGACCCCTCCCAGGATCCATCCTGAACCGGTGTCCGAGGCTGGTCTAGCCGTGGCGACTAGGAGCTCCAAGGTGAAAAGCTAAAAAGTGACGTTATTTTCTCGAGTTGCCCTCCCGTGCAGGCTGCTTGCGGCCGGTCGGCCCCGATGGCTGCCGGTTCGTTCGGTTTTCGGCGGATCCGCCGCCGGTGGGCGGCCTCGACATTTGGCGGTCTCCCAGGACTACGCCCTGCGCCCCGATTGGTTGCCTCAGCTCACCAGCTCGCACAGGACCTGTCGGGTCAGCGCATACATTCAACACGCTGAAACGTGACGCAAGACAGTCTGCACACACATACCTTAACCAGCGTGGACCCCAAACGGTGATTCTATGGAATCTAAGGGCTGAAACCGAAGTAGGGCAATCTATGTGTTGCAATCCAGGTGGCGCAACTTATGTGGTGCAAGGCAATGCAGAGCAATATACGTCAATGCGAAAAGCAACGCGATGCAACAGACAATGCAAAGCGATGCCGTGCGATGCACAGCAACGCACAGCAGCGCAGTGCAACGCAATGCGATTGCGGTGCAATGCAACGCGATTGCAGTGCGATGCGATGGCGATGCAACGGGGCGGCGGGCGGCGCGACGGGCGGGGGCCGCCAGGGCCGCGAACGGTTACAGGGGACACCTCGGGCGGCGACGCACGGGAACGGGGCTTTGCCGGGGCCGCGGGCGGGCCCAGTGCCCC